GGTATCACTAAAAAGTACAAATGTTAGATCCTATTAAGGCCCATAGATCAATGGGATCAAATGAGATAGATGATTTATTAAAAAGTACTACAACATCATACCAGTTAGTTGTTGTAACTGACATTAAAATAGAATCTAAAGACATAATAAGGCCCATAGATTACTAAGGTCAAATGCGACTGATGACTTATTAAAAAATACTGGCAATAAAATAGAATCTAAAGAAATATTATTATATTTCAAAATATATGCATACATACGTTACGTTACAAGATATAAAAGACTTAATAAAAATTATAAACAATAAAATATGAAACATTTATACGATTAAAAAAAAATTGATAAATAAAATATACCGTAAATGTAAAAAAAATTCCTAATAAAACGTGTTTCAATTAGGTTTACCAAATCTTAAAAGTGCATGTATAATCAAAATTAAAATATTTATTTTTATTTTTTTTTTAATTTTATATATTTATTTATTTTTCATAATGAATCTGATAACTGAACTGTAAACTTTTTTTCAAATTTGAATTTTAAGTGTTTGCGATATGCGTTAATGACCTTCGTATAAAAATTAATTTTAATTTTTAAAATAAAACAAGCAAGACTGGTTTCATCAAATTACCATAAGAAATACAAAAGTTATTATTTCTTATAACAAAATAAAATAAAAAATTATAATTAATTAATTAAAATAAAGAGAAAAGAGCAGCTACAAGAATAAATCCAGAATAACAAAATAACGAACGTTTAAAAATAAGTTCATTACCCGGTTCTGAAGTTAGGGCTCAGTTTAGTACTAGATACTAATCTACTACAATAATCTTCCAATTTGAAACAGTGCATTCATTTAAAAACAATTACATTTGGATTAACACACTACACTTAAGACTAATTGACAAAATTATAGATATAATAATCGTAAAAGTTATTAGTGGCGAAAAATTGCAGAATACTATCCCCGATTATTTCAGTGAGACATAGCGGAAATTATTAATAGACTACTTCATGTGTCAGTTAGACCTGCACTACCATTTTAACATAATGCATTCGACTGATGTCATAGAGCACAACACCTTTCTGAAAGTAGATGATATATTTTGCTATAAATTAGGAGGTGAATATTGCTGCAAAAACTTTCAGTCACGTCCATAACCGGTAGTTTTTTGATAACAATCATTATTAATAATAAGTTTTCATTTAGTATGCAGAATGTTTAAGCTGTGGCAAACGAGGAGTTAAGGCCACAGTCTACAACTAATATTTTATTATTATTAAATTCGTATATTGTCTTCTTTATGTGACAACAAAATTGTTAAATAAATAAGGACCATATACCATATATCTTTTGAGAGATCATAATAAATTCTTATAGTGTTAGAACAGATACTAAAGCATTAAATTTTCATTTTAGTATTATCAAAAGTTTAGAGGGTTTTCGAATATCAAAGAATGAAAGAAAAAATTAGTTATCTTTGTTAACTATTTTAACAAATTGCAGTTGTTGGAGATATCTCCATGGTCTGATGTTCATTTCAGATTAATCAACATTCGTACCAACATTACACATAAAAATTTATACTGTTTTAAGACATATGATAAAATATTATATATATATAATATAATTAAACGCTCAACTATAACAAAATATTCCAATATTTCTCCTAAATTTTTTTTTTCAGTGTATAAAATACACTACAGTAATCACCAAAAGGAAGCACAGGTTCAGGTTGAGTTATCAGATAACACAGCATTGCCGTTACTGTTAAGTTTTTAATTTTTCATGTAGTTTTCCAATAGATTATTGAAACTCGAGCATCTGGAATAGAACAGAACTTACTACCGAACCAAACAGATGGACGAATATGCATAATTGAAAAAAGAGAACGGATTAATATGGATTAATCATTTTGTTTATATATTTTAGAACGGGCTAATTAGACAATTGTTTAAATAATACAACGTTTTAAATTATTCTTAAAAAATATATTTTATTGTTACCAATATTTCGACTATAGTCGATAGCCATCTTCAGAGAAATGATATAGGTAATACCAATATTTATAATATAATACAGCAATAATTCGATTTTTTTGCAGTATGTATTGAAGTATTACAGTACTATAGACTTTGGTATTATATCAGTACTCTGATGTTAACTATAGACCTTAGTCCAAATGTTGTTGATAATAAAATATACTTTTTTAATGAAATAAAAAATATATTTTCACTAGCATTTTTTAATTTAAATACTCATGTTATAAATATAATTTTAATAATAAATTGATTTTCTATACTTTTTTAGAATCCATATTAAAATCGTTAATATTACTAAATAATTTTAATACTTCTTTATTACTATTATCGCAACTATAATATAAAAGTTATATCTAAATATATGACTTTTTTGGAGTCCCGCAATAGTTCTTACTGTAACTTCACTATAAATCTTAAATACTTTCCTTTATTAATTTTTGTGATAACAATATTTTTAATAACAAATTGATTTCTTGTATGGATACGTTTCTACAATCTTCTAGAGGCATTAATAGTAGTCAATGATTTTAATAATTCTCTGTTACTACTACTGCAACTATATAATTTAAACTATATATCCAATTACAGAACTTTTTTCAATATATATTTTAAACACATGTCGTCTTTAATATATATCTTAAATATTTGTTTTATTTTATTCTTATGATAAATATATCTTTAACTACAAATTGACCTCTCTAGAACCCACACGCACATCACTAATAGTAGTCAGGGACTTTAATACTTTTTCGTTACTATTGTTTCAATTATAATTTAAGTTCTAGACTCAGAATTATAACTTGTTTGTAATCCACATGAAAGTTTTTACTATGGTTTTATTAAATAACTTAAATGCTTCCTTACTTTTAACTTTAATGTAATTATATATATATATCCGTTAAACGCCTCTAGACTAAATTCTTTAAAATTCTAGTAAATACTTTAACTAGACTATTGTTCTGACTATGAAGTTAATTAAATGGCAATTAATAATATTAAGAAATATCTGAAAGTTGTTAATGTAATCTAAATATATACAAAAAATAACACTTAAATAAAGAGTTTAGAATCCCATTAATATTATAATATAATAACATATATACTATATTATAATATAATAATATATATAAAAATAATATAATATAATATATCAAAAATATACTAACATATATATAATATTATAATATTATACCATATATACTATATTATAATATAATAATATATATAATAATAATATAATATAATATATTAAAAATATATTTCACAAAACAAAGAATACAGTCTTTATGGAATATTTGATTTTCTCACACTTGCAATTACTCACAGCTGAGCTGGAACCAATAGTTTAGCACTCTCATCAATTCCAAACTACAATCATTCAATTTGTTTCGACTTATTTTTTCAATATGGAATGGATATATAGTATCCTATATACAATATTATTAAATATTTTTATAAACTTACCTGCATAGGCAGAATTTGCATATATTTCCCAGCGATCTCTGTTTGCTGCGACGTCGATTTTTTTGATAGAACACTGTTGTTGCACCATTTTCAGGATCGCTTATTGTTTGTAACCCGACATTACTGTTTTCACTGTTCGCGGAGGCAACAGCACTGCTCGTTGCACTTATTACATCACCATCCATTGAACCGATATAGTCACCCGATCCCACGGTACTCCGATACGTGTTTGCTGTTTGCGCCAGTTTAATGTTAGCGTTCTTTTTTTCCGTCGACGTATTACTATTGTATCTTGCACGCTCACGACTACGTTCATTTCTGAGACGTACTTGTCCGGTTACAGACCGGTCAAGTCTATTCGCTTTGCCGCTAAAAAGATTACTGAAAAAGCTTGTTGCGGTTGTAGCTGCTTGTGCGGCTGTTGTGCGCCGATTATGATTATTGCTGTTGCTGTTGCTGTTGCTGTTATGGTGTTCGCTCGTGAGACGACTGTAACGACGATTTGACGATGGTGCTCTTGTTGCGTGAGCTGCTTGCTGACGAGGTAAATAACTACTATGGCGTATGAGTAATTCAGTCTCAGAGTCGGTATCATCGGTCTCTTCTTCAAAATCTCGCAAACGTAATTCATTATCGGCTAACATAGTTGAAATATATGAGCGCACAGCAGAACTAAAATTTTTTTTATTTGTTAGTATGGCTGTAGTCGTTGTTGTTGTTGTTGGTGTTGTTATTGTAGAGAACAAATTACGGGAAAAAATGATGGTATAAAAAGCAAAAAGCCAGGGAAGCATGCAATGAATGGAAATATTTTTTGCTTTGTATATTTGCCGTTGGTGTGTTGGGCCGTATGCCGCTAGGTTTGTGGCACGAATTGTTTAGACCACGCGAGAGAGCTGCTTAGTATTTTTTTCTGTTTTTTTTTTTTTTACTTTTTACTCGGTCTATTTTATTTTTTGTGACTAAGTTCTTTAGCGTCTGTGGTTCGTTGGGATTATTTTTGTTGATGTTTGCTGTGGAGTCAGTTTATTGGGAACTACCTTGGACGTTGCTTCGGTTTTCGCTTATTTATACCAAACATTTCCGTACATTTGACTAAATGCTTCTGTTTTGTTGCTTTCAGTCGGAATAAATAAATATTTTCAATTTTATTTTTGTAGTTTTTTATTTTAAAATTGCGTAAACAGTTCGTTGCAGTTTCATGACTTTTTATACATAATCAACACTTTCACGTTTTATTTACTGTGTATTTATACGTATACATATTTATGTATGTATATGTATATATATATATATATGTATATAGATTTGGAAGACTAAGAGCTATAAATTTGACGAAGTATTTCAATAGAAATGTTTTTTTTTTAAATGGCACTGTAAAATAATATTTCAAAATGTATATCTCACATTCAAATTGACAAAGTATTTATAATTCTATGTGCAATACAGTAAAACCCAATAAAACAAACTATGCCGGCACAAGCAAAAAATTATCTATGGTTTATGCGCCACATAGAGGTAATTAAAATTCACTGAAACTTTTGGATTAGAAATGCAAATTTATAGATTGTAGATATCAGTGGCAGTACATCTCGGTTACGCTGAAGGAAATGAGTAATATGTGATAAGACAGTTTAAAAGCACATTCGCAATTTAAAAAAAAAAACATTAACTGTATCTGAAGGTAACTGTATCTTAGCGGCCTAAGAAATAGGCAATGACTTTAGTGCCCATACCAATAATAGCGCAGCAACACTTAAGGGAGACCATAAAGTAATTTATACTTTCAATAAACAAATATAATAGTAATTGTTAAAAGGAACCTCTAACCGATCGGTCTAGCTGTCTAAAATAAAGTGCGACGTTAATATTTGCAATTGTACTGAACAGTAATGGGCGAGCAAGACGAACTAGTTGCTCTGTTTCTTTCTAAATATAAATAGTGTAGTCATACGTGTAGTTTAATATATGTGCTCTTCCATAGAGTAATAGATATATGCCTTTAAAAAAACAACTAAAGTAGTAATCCATTCAACCCTACACCGGTTAACTGTCCAAAATATAGTACCATATCAGATTGTCAGTTGTAATAAATGGATAAGCAAGACGAGTTAGTTGTTCTGTTTCTTTCTACTTGTAAATGGGTTATATCTTACGCGTAGTATAATACATAAAAGTTAAAGTTAATTAAAGTTAAAATGATACATTAATTCATATTTACATTATATGAAGTCATGTCAGTTTTGTTCAATTTGTAAAACCTACAGTTGTCAGGTATATGTCAATAACTAGAAACCTATTTTAGATTAACTATCGACATCTCATCCAAAGCGCAAGTTTGTATGTTTATATTAAAATTAATTCGATTGATAAAATTTTTTTACAAGAATGTTATCTTTATTTGTATAAAAAGAAAAATATATATACATATATATATTTCGCTAAAGAGAGCAATTAAAATAAAACGGTGTATGATGGAAGATACATTTTTGTAAGATAACCAAGTATTGATATACGAAAAAGGAAAAAAAATTGTTAAAAAAAAGTTTTTTACTAAAACTATTGTAAAAGTCTATAAAAACTTATTACTTTTCGCATTCCTTCAAATACATAAACATTCAGCGTCAATTTAGAGTCAATTTAGAAATAGAGTAAAACCTGGTACATGTACGATTTAAACTGTTTAAATTTTTGAGATATAATTAAGATAGTTTCGTTTGACACCCCGTAATGTTGAAAGAATTCATTCAACTTTTTGGTATTATAGTTGTGAATCTTTTTTAAGAAACATTTGACTACGATATCATCTACAAAATAATTAGCAGAAATAAATTATTTATTGTTTAAAAATATTAAACTGGGATAAATTTGTTTTAATAACTAAATAGGGTAAACAAAAGTATGTCACGTTCTGTATTGATATACAAGTTTTGGATACATCCTAAATACTAACAGAAATTGAATTGCAATGCTGAGAGCACAAACAACTATGTAAGCTTTAGGACTTATCAGAAGCGCTTTAAGACCTGAATAAAGTATTAATACAAAACTTGATTGTGTAGTCAATCTCAAGCTTAACTTTTTCCCCGGAAATTTAGAATAGAGCTGATAAATTTTTCATAATCATTTTAAACAGATATACTCATCTCAAAGAAACAACATAAATTCTCCAGACAAACCTATGTTATATATCACAGATGGATAACATGTATGAAGTGGAATTGTTATTCTGAACTTTTTTTTAAAATTGACTGCTTGTATAATGTGTCATTAAGTAAAATAATTTTTGAAAGACAAATGAAGTATAAAATTATATTGGCACTCACATAACCCTGAGACCCGTTTGGCAATAACAAAAATAAAAGAGATTAATAATTTTTGTAGTGTTAGAGCCTTAGTCTGTTTCAATTTAAGACAGGTTGTTGTCACTTAATAGAGTCAATATTTAATCTATCGTTATCGCAAAGAATAATTAAATCAATGCATTCTTAAAAGATTATTAGTTCTGATATTAAGGTAGATTTTGGAAATGATAAGAACTTGACTTCAAACAATTGTGTAAATACAAATAAGAAATCATTTTTATTTTAAATTACATTTATTTTGTTATAAAAAATATATTTTTTATATACATATATAAAGAAATTGCAAATAGTTTCATAAATCTAATAAAGGTCATTTCTGGGTGTTTAGCAAAATGATAAAAGGAGTAAACTTTAACTATTACTATTATTACTGAAATTAAAATGAAATTTATTTACTTCATGTCTGCACTCTGGTTAATCCTTATATGATTTTGTAGGACCACTACTTTGATGTTCAGGACACTGCCTACACATAATGTGGTTTGGAGTATAATTTTTATCAGCTTTTATAACTAGACTGTCTATCTTAGCGTCCTTGTGTTTATGATTGTCGTTATATTTGGATGAAAATGTAGACTTCATTGTTCATTTTTTTTATTACATCCGATTGTTTGTAATGTAATGAAGACACAGCTAAGAAAATTACAAAATAATTAATTAAATGTTAAGTGACACTCAACACAGGAATAATTTATGTACTTAGAGGAGTAGATTTGCCCTGTATGTATGCTACTAGTTCCTACCATTTCAGATTAAGGTATCACTCAAGCAGAACGTCCATTATTGCTTTAACTGTATCTCTAACACAACTGGCCAATGGGCCAAAATGGATCCTTAGGATCGTCGGTATAACCTAACCTACCCTGTGTCTCTCTTAATAGGTGAATGTGATCAATTTATCTGCAGTAATTTGTAGTATTAACTAAATCGATTACCTACACTTTTTCCTTAACCTATTTATGAAAGTATATTAATTATACATCTCAACTCCAGGATCTCAAGCACTACAATCGACTCGCTATTCATTTCACACATTGCCTGGAAATTTGCCTATATTGTCTACGGTATTGTAAATCAATTTTACAATGCTAAGCCCACTGTGGAGCTACTTCATATTTTATATACCATATATCAATAAAAATTTATTTTGATAAGCAATCTAGCGCCGCATATAGCCTAATTAGTAAATGTTAAACAAATTGTGTTTCCACAACAACAAATTCAAGTAAGAATTTCATTGAATTCCAATTAGAATATGAAGGCATTCACAGCAAGCACACAGAACAGTTCTCGCAACTGTTGTTGGTTTATGCATTTACTGCCAGCCGTAAAATTGGGTTTAGGGTGTAAACAATAGGAAAGCCAATGAGATGTTTATTTAGATTGTTTAACAAATATATCGTTTATGGTTAAGTGACATACGCACACAAACATTTGTGTGTTGTATCAATAATGGAAATAATTTAGCATACCGCAATACCGCTGCCTTTGTGTTAGATATATAAGAATTTCAGCAACCCACATGTTGTTCATACTATTACCGTGAAGCTGTACAGAATATTAATTCACTTAAGTTTATTGAGATTTTACTGTATTGCATGTATTTATAAACAAAGTTTAATTTCTTTTCATCTTCATTAAGAACACATACAATAAAATATTTTGCACAAATATTTCACATATTTCGACACGTTGTCTCTGATTTGCAACTACAAATATTAATGTGTTCTTTACTTTTATTATAGCACAATTTTTAACATTTTCTTATGTGTTTTATGCAGAAAAAGGTTTAAACAAACGTTGAACAGTTTTACATATGCAAATATTGCGATTCTTACGTTCGCTTATTATTTAGAGTGTCGTGTCTGCTGTATTTACTTACGACATATTATTAACTTCGAAATACAAGTCTTTATATTGCTATTTATTTATCAATTAAAACCAATTCAATATAATTCAATTCACGCACTTTTTACTTCACTTGGAATTTGTTTAAAACCTAATGTCAAATAACTTTATGTATTTTTTATTTGGCCAGAAATACTGTCAATTTTCACAGCTGTTCGCAATGCTGCTTCTACAACATGTCATAATTCACAATAAACAATGGAATAACTTTTGCAATCATTGTTCGTTAATATTTACAATAAGTACATTCTTTTGATATGAATGTTCCAGTAGTACAACTTCTGGTTGCTTAATAACAACTTGGCACCATTGCGAAAATCAGTAAAGATATAACAAGTAAAAGGATTTTAAACAACATATATAAAATGAATGACACAAACAAGTTATTAGTGAGCATTTTATATTAAGCGTGTTTACGAGGCACTGGATATCGGGTTATTTGGTTAAGTGCTTTTGAATGCAACAGCAAAATGCATTGAATAAAAGTAACCAACTTTGCGTGACCTCTACCCAAGTTTACAAACCATATGGTAATGTAATTATTTGTAGTATTTAAAAATAATATAAAATTTAAGCAAATGGCATCACAAAAAATATTAATTTCACTGAATGGCGCGACAAATTGTAACTTTTAAGTTGGCATCACTAACATTTACAGCTGATTTTATTTAAAAACAAATGTTTAAAATTAGCAAAAAGAATTAAAAATGGTCTGCGCGAAATAAAAATATACATATAACTTATATATATTCCATTTTCAGTATCTAACGAACTCCGAAAACGTAAAAGAGATTATATGGAATTTCACTGAACTCATAACAACAACATAACTCCATTGGAATCATCATCAGAATAAAAACTAATCAATAAAGATTAAAAATAAATGGACACATAAAATATATTAAAAATTTTAAACAAACGCTTAATTTAAAAAAAAAGACATGTGGCCGGATATAAAATATATAAAAACACATTATTAAAATAACTTTTCTATGAAACTACCTGCAAGTATTTTTGTATTTACATGTTTTTAGCAACCACAAATTTGATTAAAATTTTTTTACTTGCCATTTCTTTACTGGTTTAGGTACTGATGCCAAGTTATTATTAAGCAACCAGAAGTTGTTCGATTTGAGCATTTATATCAAAAGAATACACCTATTGATGTAAGAAAATAATTCAGTAAAACTGCATGTTTAGACTCGAGTTTATCTTATAGGAGTTAGTTATTGTGCCTAAAAGAAATTTAAAATCAAAATTGTTGTTGCTTTCAATGCAAATTAAAAAACTAAGAGTGAGAGAAGAAAACAAATGTCGGCCTAAATTCGACAAAGCCTCGTTGTATATATGTATGCATATATTTCCTTTAAAATTTAGGCACAAACAAAAAGTGCAAAAATAATAGTAAAAACACGAAATTCACAAACTGATGTGACACTCTGCGTAAATGCATGTTTATACTAGCCTGAGAGAGCCAAATTTAACGTGCCTGTGATACTTTACATAACATAAGTCTAAGTTAAATTTTCAGACTAGAAAGCATTTATTTTTCACAATTTTGCATATTTTTAAATTATTTAATTTCCAAAATTTTCCAATTAGCCTGATTTTTTTTTTATATTATTTTAACATATGACTGAAAAGTTGGATGAAATTGCCAATGAAGGTTCACAATAGTTCGCTTATTGCATTAGTAACACTGCATTGCATTTATTGCATTTATCTATAGTTGTCAAATTATTATGCCACTTCACAAGTTGGTTCTTAGACAGCGAAAGTAATGTTGTTTTGCGTGCATTTAGGCAACCAACTTACTGTCTTTGCCAAACATAAAAGCTAACGAAAACACCTAATACCATATATGTCATCAGCCTGTCGTATCAACGCAGTTTTTTCTTTTAGAGTTGTAAAAAAAACAATATAAAGTCTCGGTGAAACAAAAGGCCTTTTTGGTGGCTCGCAAGTGCGGCAAAAAATTCATTTCGGCCTATGTCGGCCACGCGAGTCAGTGGCATCACTGTTGCAATCTGTCAAATGTTTTGTTTTGACAAACAGCAAATGTTGTATATGTGCATATAAATCAAATATATTTTTATAAAAATATTATAAAATTAAAATGAACACGGAATTAAAAGGAATGGTAAGAATATTGGAAATTTAAATATAAAACACTAAGATAAAAGATAACACTAAGATCTTATTACTTTTCAAGATTTTTAAAATTTTTGAATTCGGTTTGAATTTTTATTTCCTCAATTTTTGACATTAGATTGCACTATTCGTTGGAATTTTCAATGAAGGTTCACAATAGTTCGCTTATTGCGTTGGTAACATTTTTTTTTTACTGGCCGATGTGGTTGGCCAGCATAACTATGCTGGCCGAGGTAGAGAAAATAGTGTTGTTGTTTTGCGTACATTGCGGCCAGTATAGGCCTGCATAGACCAGCAACTTGCTGTTTTTTGCCGTACTTGCGAGCCACCGAAAAGGCCTTAATTAGCATCACTTTCACAATATATTAAATGTTTTTTTCTGACTTATGTTTTTTGTTGGGTTGTGTACAATATGAAAATTATAAGCACTAAAAATTAATTAATTTGAATAAAACAAAACAAAATGAATATCAAAAGGACAATGGTAATCATTTTTATCTTATATATTAAAATTAATTTATTTATTTATGAATTGATTAAAATAACATGAAATGAATTTTTGTTGTTATAGTTCACTACTGTTCTAAAAACCATTTTATTTATTTATGTATTTGAATTTAGTAAACCGTATGACTGGTATTTTATAACATCTATCCAGTGAACATTCACAATAAACTGATTTTTGAATTTGACTACATTGAAACTTATGGCTTAAATTTTTTTGCGAGTAAAACCTAACTATGAAGATTTTAAGAGCATTGTTGTTGTTTCACATGTTTTCTTTCGTAAGGGCTATGTTATGCAGTGTCTCGGGCACTGTAAATTTAGCTCTTTCGAGATATGCCGCAAATGCATGTTATGAAGAGTGTCCCATCAGTATTGCCAATTTTGTATTTTTACTATATCTTGGTTGTGTCTTAATTTAAAAGGAAATTTAGATATGCTCACTTTCAATTTGCCACCAAAAATAACTAGCGAGAAAAAACTCATAAAGGCTGTAATAATGTTAAATTATTATTACATTATCTTACAATAATTGTTAACAATACTTAACAGTACATACACGTTTCTTTAAAATCGGAAAGTGTAATAATTATATTATTAGCGATTTATAAACAAAAGCTGTGTTGCAAAAGCTTGCTGCCATTTTTTCTCCAAAACGTATTAGAATTGTAGTAATTTGCTCCTAAAAGGCGCAAATTTTGAAATTTATTACTAAACAACACTGTTTTGCCTTATACGCCGGATCTCATGTCGGAGTTTGAACTGCTATATTGTTTTTTCTCTTATTCTTAAATTTAAAATTTGCATTGAAAATAACAACAATTGTACTCATACCGTACCCGAGACACTTTGCATAACATGGCCCTAAAAGTTACGAATAATTTTTGCTACTCTGAAAGAAAAAATTATAGCTATTATTATACGCATACAATAAAAGTAGTTTCAAGTTTGACAATTTTTTAAGTTTGTTTTGGTTTGCGCCTTTATTTTATTTTTTGTTAATCAAAACTTGCAACTGCCATTGCCAGAGAAAGTGGTTCTTATAAATTTCAGCACAGATTTTGTGTGACAAATTTAACTAAACCGTACACGCTTATGGAGATAAATTTTAAAACGAGTTAAGTACGACAGTCTAAAATAGACAAAATCTTATAAAAATGAAGACTTTTTTGTAGAATAAGCACAGAATTTAAAATAAGCAGGTGTAACTAAAGCATACTAATGTCGCGTTTGAACTTTTTTATTGCTGCTGTGTAAATATTTCTTAACTATTATTTCTGAACAAGTTATTATATATTAGATATCTTAATACTCATGGATATATATTAGTATGTTATGTGTATTTTAATTATTATGAAGTTAAATGGGTTTAATTAAAATTTGCGTATTAATATGCATAAAGTGTTTTAAATTGTAAATGTACCTATTACGAATTTACTAATGATCTTTTCACAACTTTCAATATATTTTTAACATGTGGGGGTGTCATTTGTTATTTGATTTTTTTTAAGTAAACGCTTTATCTTATTGTAAGTTGGGTTAAAAATTTAATGTTGTTTTAATCCAAATTATATTTGAGGCAGAAAACAAACAACACAAGGTTGCTTTTAAAATTCTGAGATATGCACTCCACACAGCATCACATACAGTGAAACCAAACTCTGCTCTCTTATTTTCATTTTTGCATTAAATACACAAACCAATCGCATTCATTTTAAGTTTGTCGTGAACACCACTTTTCATAGAAGCTGCATTTTTGCATGCTTAGCGTTTACACAAAATGAAATCCTATTCACACCAACTGCAAATTAAGACTTGGCTATATCTTCTGTTGTATCTTATCAGTTTGATACACAAACAATTTTATTTAAACGGTCTATATGACTATTCAAAACATCGATCTTATTTTCGAGTTCAAGTCAGTCATTTGTCAATGTTTGTGTTCAGTATTCAGTTGATATAATATATTATATGACATTGTGTTTTAAAAATTAATTTTCTCAATAAGTTTTTATTTATTTGGTTCTTATTTTGCAAAAGTTTCATGTTTCTTCAATTAAACAAAATAGAAGGCAAGTCTACTTGTTGTTAAGATGAATTGTGTAACATATACCCCATAATAAAATATAAACATATGTACATATTAATGGTTATCATTTTGTTAGAATGACATTTTCTTTAAGTTCCTCACTTTCCAAATTATTATAAAAAATAATATTTCTAAGTTGTTTCCAATCGTTAGTAGGTATTTTTATATATGTTTTGAATGTTATAAGAAAATATTTACATGTATGTAGCTAAAACTATAAGATAACCTTATTGTAGATTATATGGATTATTAACCCATTTCGGTCCACCTTGTGGTAAATCACATGTCTAGTTTTAAATATGTTTTAATATTCAAAGAATATTTTTATTACTATTTACTATAGATATTTCATCGTAAAATTTCAAGTCTGAAATTAAGCGCCATTTAAAAAAAAAAAATTGAAAAAAATTTAATTGGTTGGCAACGCGAATTTTTCGTAATGAAGAAAATATACAAAAGCGAATGTAAATCTCCGTTATGTGTGTGTGTAATAAAAGTTGCGAAGTTCAGTTTGCTTTTTGTAGTTGACGCTAATGGACGTAGTTGTTTGTGCTTATGTGGTGCTTGAAAAATTAAATAATTAAAAATAATAACAAAACAAACAAATCATAATAATAAGTTTGGAACAGTCATCAAAAGCACAAAATAAAATAACCATTTACTAAAAAGTATGTTAAATTATATAAAAGATTCTATAATGTCCACGAGTAACAGGAATATAATGACTATAAAAGGTTATAAAATAACTGATAATGATCGTACCAAAAAATACGGTATTGGTGCAAACTCATTGCAAATGCTTACGAATAAGGCTATGCTGAAGTTTCCTGTGAGTATTAGCAACATGATTTAAATTTAAATAATATATTTTCTAACAAGAAATATGTGTAAACAAATTGTTGGTTATTTGCATTAAAGTAGCTTGTGTGATTCTATTGAAAACAAAAACAAATCAAGGCCAATGTTCCCCATTTCCAATTAAATTCCCTGGCAGCAATACAGCGTAATGTTGCACTGTTTTGATTACGTTTTCGCCTTTTTGATATAAATTCAATGTCAGGGAAATGCGCATGCACACTGCGTAGGTTATTCCATTGTACATATATATATATTTATGTAGTATACACCTGTTGAGCCAATGTTGAAGGACAATAAACTTTTTACCATTCAAGATTTAAAATAATAAAAAAGTCGGTCAGGACTTTGGCATAACCTTGCATTCAATGAAACTGCAAGGTTAAATGACTCAATTTATATACAATATAGAATCCCTTCAAAGTAAACTTCTCTAATGCATTTCTTATAAGGCGTATACTAAGTAAGATAAGAAATCAATGAGTATTTTTAAATTAATTTAAAAAGTAAATAATTGAATACTTTTGTGTAGTGAAAACGTCAGGAATTTTTAATTTCCTTTGGGGAAATACCCAAAAAAGACGCTAAACGCATTTACAATATGGCCGCTTAGTATAATTCTAACGGTTCTTCCGTGTGTTTTTCTACTGTAGAGTTGTTTATGTGAAACGCACTCTTTTCTTTTACGGCTTAATTCATAAGTGTGGTGACGCTTTATCGGTTGTGAAGTCTTTGTTTTATTTCGAAATTAAATAGAAGTAAAAAATAATTTTGTATATATACATATATAAGAGTACAGTTTAGTCTCTAAATGACTGAGTATTTTATAATTGTAATCATAATTATGAACATTAATGAAAAGTGCAAGTAAAATGCAAAGTTGCGCCTACATATACATATGTGATTCCGTTTTATATATGTATGTATGCACATTTTGGGGAAATACCCAAAAATGACGCTAAACGCATTTACAATATGGCCGCTTAGTATAATTCTTAATTCATTAGTGAGGTGACGCTTTATCGGTTGTGAAATCTTTGTTTTATTTCGAAATTAAATAGAAGTAAAAAATAATTTTGTACGTTTACATATACATAAATTTAAGTACAGTTTAGTCTCTAAATGACTGAGTATTTTATAATTATAATCATAATTATGAACATTAATGAAAAGTGCAAGTAAAATGCAAAGTTGCGCCTACATATTCATATGTATGTGATCCCGTTTTTTATATGTATGTATGTAATTACATATTTTGTGTGAAATGTGTGGTTTTCAAATATAAGCAAAATAAGTGTTGCTAAATAATTGTGACAAGTTTTTTTTTTTTTTATTTAAAAAAAACTACGCAACGAAGAAGTAACGAAGAAATAATTCCGTTTGAAATGGAACGATTTCATTTTATGGCGTCTTTTGAGGATATTTTCTAATGTGTATGGACTGGATTACTCCATATTTTCATAGCATCTGTGAAAAATTATATTAAATTTTTTTTTTTACTTCGTATACTAAATTTATGTAATTGTTTAGTGGTGTTGTTGGGGAATCTTCGATAATCATGGTTAGTTTTGACAATGTCATCAAAAACTATTTGGACCTCTACGAAATTTTGCATGTGCAGTATATGTACAGTTGCGCTCAAAATAATAGCATCAAAGCAGATTTCTCCATTGGCATTGCCACATTTACAAAATTAGAAAAATATTGTGATTTGTTTTATGTGATTTTAGCAGACCATTCATCCTTTTTATTCTCTATTCATTATTGAGCATTAATTAATATCAGCGAAGAAAAATTTTGGCATACATATTTTCACTTGGTCCAAGTAATAGCATCATCGGGTTACTTATATTTAAAAAAAATTACTACATTAACAATAAAAATATTTAAAATATTATATTTTATTTCATGTGACGGCATAGAATCAATGAGTTTTTGACATTTTTCCATGACATTTTTCCAATTTGGTTTCAAAAATGCTGTCAAACGGCTCAAAGCTCATTACAATTTTTTTAATTGCTTTCGACTCCATTCCTTTAAACTTCAGTCCACAAATTTTCAATCTGGAAGATTGAGGTGTCCACTCCATTACTTTAATTAAATTAATTTCCAACCATTGTTTCGCTTATGGTAGCATAATTTTCTCCAATATTGCTACGGAAATATGCGGATTCATTATAGTTTCGATCCAGTACATGGGTCCTACTCCGTAATGGATAAAGAAGCCCAAATCATAATAGATGAGCCACCATATTTTATGGGTTCTTCCTAGCCCGTATCAGTTTCTGAATCTTTCTACCAGTTATAACTGATTTCAGCGACGTGTTTCGATTTTCGAACTATAGATTTTTGTGTTCCTTATCATTTTAATTTAATATCAAACAATTTTTTTGATTTTGGCGTAGGTTTTACTGTTATACTGAATAGTTTTACGTGTTTCAGGCGTATAATGTGTGCCTTTACCCATTTCTGCTAATTTAATATAACTAAAAAATTCAAATTTCTTATATTATCATTTTTATAACATTAACTATTACTTACACTTTATTTGCAACTAAAATTTTAATTATTTGTGGAACGAAAACTTAATATTAAGTGCAATTCTTTTTTTGGTGCTATAATTTTGAACGCATTCAAAACTATTATAGATTTGCAAGGTAAATGTGCAATATAAAAAGTCCCTTTTTCATTTTTAAATGAACTAAGCAGTCAATTGCCTTAAAATAGTGCTTTTTAACAGCACTTTTTATGTTTTATTTTTAGTGTTTCGCAATATTATTGTTTTTTTTTGTTATTTTATTTTAAAATTTTTTGAGTAAAATCAATCTACTTTTTTTTTACCTCTGTACAACTCTAATTGCTCTAAATACCAAGCGATCTTAACCTCAATAAACGCGTTCTGAGTATAGCAAGCACGAATCGCTTTTTAACAATTAAGCGTCTAAATTTTACTATAGTTTTATATTATATTAATAAATTAATTTTTCCAGATAAAAGATTTGCGCGTTTATCTGTCATCTGATGGTTTTGAAGTCGTTGACGAAGATTATTTTTCTACATTGGAACCACAAACACTGTTTATAATTGCAGGTCCGGATGAAATAATTACAACAGGTAAAATTATTTATATAATAGTTTATGTATTGTCGAACTCGATGACTTTCTCCGGTTTGTAGAACCGACCATTCTTGTAGACTAAAGTTGCAGTTATTTTTTGTGAGATTTTATAACGCGGTTTATATTGCATCTAATAAAGGTTGCAAATAGGTTATATTAATAATATTTAAATCACAAAACTTTGTCGGCTATACATATATTTGAGCACCATTGCTGTGTTGCTGCTGATGTATACAAGCTATTCTAATTTTGGTGGCAAGTGTAGATAGCAGTTAGACCAACTAGTTTGTCTAAAGTGATCTGTGGAATTAACGGCAATCATATAATACTTTTGTTTACTTATTTAATTTTGTGTAAATACTGTAGATTATTATCAGATCCACATTTAATTCAAGAAACAACATTTAAAGGATTAATACTTCACTAAAGACGTTTTAGTTCAAATTTAATGATGTCCGTAAATGATCTTCGTTTACTTTTATCAGATAATTGTTAATTCTATTCTCTGGTGTATATCATAGTGTACCAAACGACGAATTTGGTTGTTTGTGTTGTTACTTCTTACTTTTCTTAATTATGTAACATATTTTTCATTGTTGAAACTACTAAATTTTATTTTATTTTTAATTAATTCTGGTTACATGATTTTGTATTGTATTTCAATGTCTGAGAATTTGTTGTGCCAGATATTCCTAGAAACCGACTTATTCTTTTTGTTTGTTGTTAAAGTTTCACATTAAACTTTCTACTTTTTCATCTCTTCTTCCATTACCACACACCCTATCCTAACCAATATATTCATTTTGTTGTCCTTTAGTTTCCTTCTCTATGAGGAAAGAGCCTTCTTTGCTTTGAGATCACCATACAACCCATCAACAAGATAAGCTTAGTGAATAAATTTGATTTTTCCGAAATAGTTTTATTATTTTTGCTCACGAACTTTTTCTCTATTTGTTACATTTTTTTTGTAGATTAAATCACAATTTTAAAAAATAATTTTCGTCATTTTTACAAGTGAACTAGACTTGTCTATTATAAATTACCATATATGATGATTTAACTAATAAAGTCGTATATATGTTTTATTACAGATGGTGATTATGAGTTTGAAAAACTTCGCCAACACTCCCCATTACTTAAAATTGCAGATATAATCTATGAATTTATCGAGCAGAATCCAGACAAATTCCGTCGTATGATCACTGCTTATGAGGATCGTAGATTGCGTCAAAAGCTGGATAACACAAAAACACATCTCAGTCTTAAAAGTGAACATCATGAATGGTTTGAAGGGCAAGAAGAACGCTGCCATTCAAAAGAAGAGGCTATGGCCAGACGCGCACAAGACCGTGTTCGTGGATATTACTATAAAACAAAAGATGAACTAACGCGTAATAAGTTATATCGTCAGAATTTAAAAGCGCGTCATGTATTTGATTCTATAATGGAAAAGTTTCGTTACTTACTTATTGGTTGTGATTACTTTTCTATGATTTTCGATCGTAAGTGCGACAGAAAACATGCATTTTTACAGCAAAGACTGGACGAAACTGATGCTAGTCGCATTGTACCTAACAAACGACTGAAGCAGATCATAAAGGAGTACACAGCAAAAAATCAAATACTGGATGAATGGTCGGTTTCGTTATGCAGTGATTTAGGAGAGTTTTATTGTCAAGGCGCTTACTCAGATAATGGCAACTGTTGTAGTTTACAACACAACATAAATCCGTATGCTTCCCGCGAAAACTTAATACTCTTCCAGGTTTGGAACTTAGATCATCAAATCGAGCTATCACGTACAATACTACCCGCATTAATTGAAAATGTGCGTGAACTTGTTGAGCATCCGCAGCGAAAGTGCGCACTACACAAAAAACGTGTTGTAGATATATCTGTTCTGGAGTACTTTCTGGAAATATTTTCCTTGAAGAATCTTAAATTGGTACATATTGTGTGCCATGAAAAATGCCAACGTGCAAATAAATCTAACGGTACACTAATATGCGAAGAGTGCCATGAGTACAAAATTGTGCAGGAATTAATGTCTGTACGTTGTTCTGAAGAGGAACTCAATGCATTTTAAGTATAAAGTAAGTTCTTAAATTTACTTTGCATTAATTTTAATAGTCTTTTTTTTATTATTTACAGAATTGCTGCATTCGTATTGTACACTATAAACTATTTTAAACTACAAAGGAGAAAACATGGATACACATGATAATAATTCCACCAAACACTAATGTGCGACATTTGTCGGTAAGTCTTACGGATATTGGAATATCAAGAATTATTACATAATGAAAACTAAAACTTTATATAATAGAACGTGAATCTATAAATAGTTAAAATTATAGCGATGTTGCTTAATGTAGATATTTTATATTTTGAAAAATTGTAACGCCTAAACAGTTATATGGTTCCACTATATATTTATTCACTTTTAAAGTTACTAGAATTGAAGAGAACATACGCTTTCAAAATTTAAATATATAAACTATATTCAATATCTATTTTTTATAAGGAATACATTTACATATAGCATTTATATAGCACTTTTAAATATATCGATATGTTAATGAATGTTTTTCGTTGAAACTATTTTCTAAATACAGACTAATCATCATTTGAGTATTGTTACATTGATATTAAATGCCTGTAATATTTTGAAGTTTGCGTTAAATAATCATAGCTATTGAGTAGTTGTAAGATACTGATATAACGTAGCTCGGTTTGGAACCGATGCTGATACTGATATTGCTATTATTATGCAGAAGTGCAATAATTGTTAATTTCTTTTAGTAATTCCACACTTATATATTTATATATATCATAATATATAGTCAACAATTTTATTGGAACTGTTTCTATCGTCAACTGTATTGTCTAAAATGTCAAAAGTAGGTCATGAACAAAGTAAAGAAGTCAGCGCATATAGAACAGATTGTAAGCAATGTGACAGATAACCGTGGTCAATCTATGACGAACTCTACAAAACGTAATAACTCTGCTTTTATTGCTTTAAAAATATTTTGAGAGTATACCAGTAAATAACCTAACATACCAACGCATGTAATTGCCAATAGTTACCTCATTACAAATATATATTTTTTAATGGAATAATGAATTATTAACGATATATATGATATTTTTAAGTAGAACTTAATTTAAAAATTTGACGTCAATCCATATCCAATATATTCGATTGATTTTATTTCATCCTATATATATTGTAGATGTGTTTGTGGTTAAGATTTTTAAGATATATTATTATAGATGTATATATATATATATATATATATATATATATATATATATATATATATATAATATATATATATATATATATATAATATATATATATATATATATATATATATATATATATATATTATCTATTATTATATTATAGTCTGATTTGTCAGATTAAAAAGGTAACATTCCAATATATTTTGGTGTGGCTCTGTTAGTATACATTTTAGAAATTTTTTCAACAATTTTAAGCCAAGAACTGAATTCAGTATTGTTATTTAAATGTTCGAGAAGAATAATTTCTTCTTTCTGTCACCTAAATGAAGGTGTATAATTTCTTCAACTTAATTATTGCTAATTGTTCTCAGTTTTCTCTTCTAATACTGAGAATGGATTAGTATCAAAAGATTTCCCTATATTCATTCGAACGAATTTTGGACTTGAGATGGGGTTGGTTGTTGAATTGGTTCTAACACAGGGGTTTGATGGATAATGCTTGGTGGATTGGCCATTCTTTTAAATCAAATTTTATTTAATTTTAATAATACTTTAATTGTTGTCACTTTATTTGTTATTTAACAATAACAATAATACACTTTAAAAATTAACTTTTTTATTTACATAATAATTAATGAACGGGCTAATTGGTTATATAATTAAAAACTATAATTTATATATACAGTAATATAGTTATAGTAAAATATATAGGGATATTCTAATATTACGACTATCTTTTGCATAGTCATCTTCTAGAAACTATTATGATGTTTTTTTCTGTTTTTTTCTGTTTTTTTTCGGTAAGGAGCACTGACCACAATCCGGAGCCCCGGAAGGTGAGTGCCTGACTAGCACTGCCTAAACCACTCCCCCTAATTCCGAGAGACTTTTGTCTACTCCGGGACTAAGTTGGTATTACTTCGAGGTAGGGTCCCTATTAGTCTTTTAAGACTTCCATCGGTGTGACTCTGGTACTATTTCAGATGATTTACCTTTCCCTTCATCAGGGTGTGATACCGTTGTAGTCTATTTGTTTTCATTCTCAAAATGTGTGTTCTGGTTCTCACTCCTAATCCGAATTGGAATGTCGTCAGATTGCTCTTTCTTTTAGATTAGTTTGCGTCCAAATCTTTCTTCTTTTCCCTTAGAACATTTCCGATAAATTTTGTGATTTTGTTCCAATTTTCTGCTCGTTCTATCATTTTTTCTACGATATTTTCGACTGTGAAGTGACCTATATATTTTGCAAGTAGTGTTCTTTCTCCATGCCATCTTTCGCAGTTGAATAAAGTATGCTCAGCATTGTCCTCGACGGATCCGCAGTACATACAGTTGAGCTGCTCTGCTTTTTGCATTCTGTATAGATATTTTTGAAAATATCCATGACTAGACATAATATGTCACACATAATTATGTGTGACATAATAGTCAATCTCGCCGAAATTTCTTTCAGTCCAAATGTAAAGTATTTGGAATGAGTTTTGCCGTTCATCTTCCTCTTAAATCAGAGTTCCATCATTGTTGCCAAATCTGAAAAGTTTGTTCTCTTATATCTTGAGGACCTGTTGAATTGTGTCTAATCATAAGCTTTTTTATGATGTTTTGAGTATTAGTCTTTTTCTTTACAATAATTATTACTTATATTTTATCAAATACTAACAATGTCTTTTACGAGGTGATGCTAATTTATTCACTTAAATAAATTGCTTTAAAAAATTAATACAAATTTTGTTCAAATTATTGTAGTTTACGATTTATTTACTTAATTACACACGTAACAATTCATATAATATATATTTTATTTTTTTAACTATTTATAAAACATTACTGTTTAATTTTAGCGCACAGACTGTCTTTCTTTACACACTTTTCAAAGAGAACAAAAAAGGCTTTTTATATTACAATAGAATTCAAGTTGCAAATTAACATGCGTACGAATAATTGAGTGCGAATGTCAAGAGCTGAAAGCTCAAATGAGTAAAAGAAATGACTCAAAACTGGTATTGATCTTGCTCTACATTATTCGTACACATGTTAAAATGCTTACAAACTCAACTTGCTAGATCTACCAAAGCACCGTGGTCCAACAAATTGTTTGTCGATCTCTGTTTCCAGCGTTTTTTCCGTTCATGCGCCTGGAGGTCGATAGGGATGATTCCACTAATCACTAGAACTGTTGGCTCGGATACAGTTAGGTATGCAGAAGCTACCCGAAGTGCAGCAGTCCGTTGTACAGCTGCGTAAACTTTCCTTCTACATTTAACCTTTAAGACGTTTGCCCAAATTTACACTCGTAAAGTAATATTTGATTTGTAGTTGCCATAAGTAATTTTATTTTACTCTGGATAGGACCTCTCATGTTAGACATCAGTCTTCCTAGCATCGCAACAACTTTGCTTGCTTTTGCCGCTGCTTGTTTTATTTGAGCCCAACAGGTCAACTTAGAGTCTAGTTTCACCCCCAAGTATTTGATCGCCCTTTTCGTATTTATGATTTTGTTGCAAATATGTATTCCAATTTCTTCCATGGTTCTGAGAAGATTCCGTTAACTTGACATATGTTGTACATGTCCAACAATATTGTTCGTTGTTCTGTAGTGGAACATGCGTCGGAAAGAGTGAATCAACTATTTTTTCCATTTTATGTGGTCAAAAAGTAGGAGGCGGTTGTCTAGACCTTAGCTTTTTCAACACGATTTGGTACCCCAGCTCTTTCCACTTTCACTTCTTGCTTTTCGCTATCTCAAACTTTAATGTCTTCCTGGCAAGTTTATATTCAGCCGTTTTTGCTTCCGCTAAGTTTCTTCTTAGGGCCCTGGAAAATATTCGCCTGCATTGAAGGCAATTTCTTCTTAACTGAACAATGTGCTCAGTCCACCAATAGGTACCTTTTCTGTGAGTTCTCGTTCCAATTCTTGGCATTGATGCATTGCAAGTTTTATGATTTGCATAGTTTGCTTTACTCGTGTTCTCGCGTCATGTGCGAAGTGAATTTCTAAGGTACTTCTGTTAAGAGTGGTGAGCAAATTTGTGATATTTAGCTGCTCAAGCTTCCATTTTTGTGTTCCTCGTCGTGTATTACTTGATACTTGCGAATTACTAATCTCAAAATCGTATTTTATATAAATTAAATAAAATATCTTTTGTTTATTATATTTTTATTTGTAGCTCTACTTAAGCGAGCTCAATTCGACTTTATTTATTTAATACTAACTCAACACCCTTGACACTAACTTAACACTTACAATCCTTACTTAAGACTAACTTTTCAATCAACATCTCTACTCACTTTTTGCATATGCACCTGCATTACAAAATGAGGTGCAAAGCAAAGAAGATAGAGCGAACCTCACTCTCAGAGAAATAACACATTTTTTTTATATTTTGTTCGTTAACTTATATAGTTGGTCGATACCGATGTAATTTTCAAGTACTTTATAGTTCTTGATTGCACCTGCAAATCTGTCTGAAACTAAAGTAATATCGGAAATTGTGCCTTCACATCCGGGTCTTCTGAAAGTTGCGGTATTGCTAGTGTTTGCTATTGTCATTCCTAATCTAGCTACCATATCCAAAATGCGTCTACCTCGAGAGTTTGTCGAAGATGAACCCCATTCTATTGTGTATGCGTTGAAGTCACCTGCAACAATTACTGGTCCTTGAAACTCTTTGGCTGTGCCCTCAATATTATTGAGTTTTAATCGGAATTCGTCTATGAGGTCGTTTGGCAACAAGTAGCAACTCATTATTTTGCTGTCTTAAGTTTTAATCCACACATAACTATATGCGGCGCCACTGTTTGTTGTAATAATGGAACCGTTCGGCGGTAACCAGATAGCTGCTGTATCAGTGATATTTTCAAGCCAGTTTCCTGGGGATATTTTTCTATATTGCTCACTGATAGCCGCAACTTTGTATTTTTCTCAAGTACTAATTGCGATAGAAGACAATCTGCCGTTTACTTCGATGCATGTTTGCTTGAAGAATCGTCATCTTCTATTAATAAGTGTGTCATCAACAACTAATTCTGCTTTAAATTCTGTGTCTTCAATTTGTTTTTTGTTGTTCGCACATATATTTGGTTGCATATATTGGATCCATCACCTTTACATTTGATTTGATAAACAACGATATATTTGCCAATTATATCAATTTTGAATTTTGTACTGAAATTTCGGGGATGTGTGCAACACTTTTGTAAATTTGGTTATTCTGACTATGTTGTTCAATTCTTTTGAGTTCAAAGATTTTAGGGATCA